GCTAATTAGCAGCCAGGCCTTCGCGGCAGTCACACGCCGGTGCCTGTCTCAGGCCAAACCAGGCGAAGTTAACCATTTGTGCTCTTGTGGCAATAGCTTAAGCCATGGCGAGATCCTAACACTTCGGGATCGTTCCTGAATAGAAAGAGGAATCGGACGCCGGTTGCGAGAACAGTGTATTCCGGAGAAGGAATTTGGGAGAGTTGACAGTCAGACGAGAGTGCGGCCGGCGCCGGGAGAGCAGCGTCCCGAGGGTGCACGGGGTGTGCGTCACAGCGCCTTAAGCGAACGCATGTCCGATTCGTCCTTGAAGATGATTGGTCAGTTGAAAGGCTGTGAGGGGGTGCGAACCGGCCTGCCGCTGGTGCGTGCGTGCAGACACTCGCGAAAGGCAAAGCGTTCCAACAGGCACCCGGAGTAGAGCCACTACATTCTCAACCACACCAAACACTGTGCTGAAGTTGAACGTGAAAAGCAACTCAGTCGCCATCCCCCTACCCCCCCCCCCTTCGCGCCTGAGTGACCCCGCCCGCCCGACCAACATTAAGTAGCTGTTTCATTCAGTGTAATCTAATGGTCATCTGGCCAAAGAGAAGGAGAGATGCACTGGTCGATATTGACATGGTGAGGATCGGGTGAAGGCTCGCAAGTATCTGTGGCCCCCATGCAAAATCTCCGTCACTCACCGATTCTGGAGGGTGACTAGGTTGAACGCATAAGCGAAATTCGGCCAACACCACTGCCACTGAAGCCATTGGGCTTGAACGCCCAAAAACACCAGAAATGGCGCCATGACGACGACAAAGTACACCTACTGATAGTGCAAATACGTTTTCATATTCCTCAAGGAAGCCTACGCTCCAAAACTACGGGGAATGCATAACAACCCAGGTCAAATGGAGTAACCGTGCTGGAGAATTTGCAAATCCTGGAACGCAGGACCGACTGTTTTTCTTGCGTCCTCAGAGGCCGAACCACAATCTATGATGGGACCACCAACAAACAATCTTTAGCAGGGAACAGTTAGAGCGCCGCAGCAGGTGTCCAGCCAATATTTCCGGGTGTACACTCAGTTCCATCTAAATGCTGCCAACACGATGGCCATTTAATCCTGGAACAGCTTACTTCATTATGACGGGAGTTTTGACAACAGGGAGAAATTGCGCAATATTTCGAAGATGCATCGATTTTCGTATTGTACACCAAAACCTTTCGTGTCATGAACCGTGAAGGTCTCTGAAAGTTAGCAAGAACATTCTAATATCGTGAGCATTTCAAAATGACGGTCCACGGGAAACAGTGCACCAACATTGGAGACCCTCATGGCGGAGGCAATGTGTGGGGCAGGGCGATGCTCTCACCCCAACCCTCTACAGTGCCTTTACTGATGGAAGCCTATCGGTAGGACGCGCGAAACGTCTGCATGAGCCGTCGAACAGAGAGAAACTCTTCAACATCCCGATGGAAGCGAATTGGAGAATTTCAGGAGCGAAGAAGAAGAAGAAGAAGAGGCGGAGGATGAGGAGGAGGAGGAGGAGGAGGAGGAGGAGGAGGAGGAGGAACATGCGATCCCCAGATCAAGGAGTTTATTCGCCTGACGTTTCGGTTGCACATCGGAACCCAACTTCAAAGGCAGACGCAGATATGTGTTACGGACATACGGAGAGTGCCCTGCTAATAGGACAGTTCTCACACTACCACATGCCCAAGTTACTCTTGTTTCTGGATATCTCGCAGGTCTAACTGGTGGTACCGGTCTTTGCAACGCATCAGAAGAGAGGAAACCACCTCAGGTTCAGGGCAACACAAATCAGTGACCGCATTTATTGATATCATGAGAAGGCTACCGCACGAGTGTATGCCAAAAAAATTTAGCAAGGCTTGGATCGACGCGAGAGATAAAACTTTAAGGCAAGTCCAAATTTTGACGAAATACTGAGAAGTAAACTTTGTGCCTCTGTTTCTGCAACAGTGTTAGTTTAAACGGGATGGAATGGTTAGGAGCAAACAGACAACCTCCATTCCTGTGCGGCCTGGTTTAGGATTGATTCTCACCAAGGGAATTGATGGATAAACAAATTTATAGCTGCCGGGCTTTGCAGATGATAATAATTTTAGCAGTAAGTTTTCAGGTAACCTTTTCAGCGGTTCCCCGCTGACGATACTGACGACTCCTCAGCCTCGACTGTCTCCTGGAACCGGTGCCGCTAGTGCGAGCGACCGGCGACGTCTGACCTCTTGGTAGTGAAACTTAACCGGTCGATAAAAAACCGCAAGCAGCAAAGTTACAGATCCGGTGATCTAACAGAGGAGTACACATTCTGTAAAATAATGGAAAGCATAGTTGAGAAAACAACAGTGAAGTTCCTGGAGCAGAACCAATCACTCTCAGCGCTTCAGCACGGCTTCAGACAGAACCGCTCGTACCTTTCCAGTTTATTGCTCTCGACGGAGCAATGGACTCGCGCGCTGGACGAGGATGACAGGGTCGATGTCATTTACACGGACATCATGAGGCGTTTGACGACGTTCCACACAAACGCCTAATCTACAAACTTTCTGAAATTGGGATAAGAGGAAGGCTACTGACGTGGATAACAGATCTTCTTACCGGAAGATCACAAACCGTGTGCATTGAGGCCTCAAGGTCAACTCCTATCCCGTTCTAAGTGGTGTTCCCCAGGGCCCAGTCTTAGAGCCGCTGCTATTCCTGGTTTACATTAACAACTGCGCCGACAACGTGGAAGACAACGCCGTCAGGTTTACTGACGATGTTAAGCTGTGGCGAGCCAACAGATCTGACGCACACAGGTAGGCGATTCAAGACAGTCCCAACGGCCCGAGCAGTTGGTCAGCTCTTTGGCTCCTCAGTTTTAATGTGGACAAATGTGTGGTCCTTAGACTCCGCACTAAAAACACCAGTAAGGAGAATGCTTCCTTTCAATACGTCCTTGACGGGCAGCTCCTTTCAAATGTTGTGGAGCAGAAAGACCTTGGCGACCTAATGATCTCCTCGCTGAAACCATCGTCACTAAGTCAAAGTGTAACTAAACGCGCTAGGCGAGGATTTTTGCAGATCGATCAAGAACTGTTCGGGAAGACCTACAGCGTATTCGTTCGGTCTCACTCTGAGTATACAATCCAGGCCTGGCGACCGCGGTTGACAGAAAGATTATAAACAACTGGAAAGAGTGCAGGCGATAGCTACGAAGATGGTCAAGAATCCTGATCATCTGCTTTACGAAACCAGACTGGTTGAACTCAGTCTGTTTCCTCTCAATTACGGGCACCTGCGCGAATTGTCAGAGGTCGTGAGTACGCCCTTGACAAAATTTTCAAAATGGCCGGGACGGACTTTCTACGTGAGCATCCCTTTAAACTGCAGAGGAATCAGACCCATATGGAAGTCCGACGGAATGCCTTCTTGCACAGGGTCGTTGGAGCAAGGAACGGACTCGTAAATGAGGTGGTTCCTTCCGACATTGTTGAATCCTTTAAGTGCTGACTAGACGCTCATTTTTTGAGAAACTACTGAGCATATAATCCCGATTGTTTTTGCAGCGGCAGTTTGCGCCTGGCTCACACTTACCGTTAACTTCTGAATTTCCAGATTTACTGTTGCAGCAATTGACTCTATTTCTGTTTATCGATATGAATAGGGAGCTCAAGGAGGAAACCCTCATTTCCTTAATAAACTGACTTAATTGACTATCTGAATGTCTTGTCATCTAGGCAAGTTTTCTTTTCAGAATCTTAAAAGAAGGATGGCATAGGATAGGTAGACATCATTATTTCAATTAAATGAGCCAATACTTGCATTGACGCTGAGCATATGTAAGTCTACTGCAGCAACCAAATGGTAATCTAGTTTCCAAAGTAAGCAGTTAGAGGATTCTGGGAGGGCGGGAACATAAAGACTTTGAGGAGCTTAAATTTGCTTTCTTGAGAGCTCTGATTTATTGTGTTGAACCGGCACGATCCCGCCGCGACTTATTAGATAGTGAGGAGAGATAAATGAGACTCTCTATAGAAGGACATTTTCCGGTTTTCTAGATCCGCCAATCTAATGTATGCTCCCACACATTTCGGGAACCCTCAGACCCCCTCTGGCATCAATACACCCTCTAAGGACTCCTTATCATTGCCCGCGGTTTGTTTTCAGATGCTACAATGGGCAGGACCATTTGAACACAATCCAGGCAGATGTCTACTTTACAACGCCCTTCTGATAGACACGTCTGCCCAAAATCCATACTTCCTCATTGTTTTCATTAACCGTAGCGTATATTAGCATAGTCCGTTTTTTACTTTTAGATGCTATTAATGGGAATCCGCATTATTGTCTCTTTACGCATGGTTAAAAGTGCTTTCTGTGCACGTTTCTATTACTTGGCTAATGAGATAACTGGAATTCGGGGTTCCAATTTAAAAGCTGGTGGGCTTTGGAGGTTTTGGTTCGTTTAATACTAGTGCTTGACAATGAGTGATGACGAGCTAATTTTTCTGACCTGCCTAATGGATTCTGTGAGGTGAAGGTTGTCAGCTACAGACCGGAGTGCAGCTGTCTTAGGATGCGTTTCAAGTGCGTTCCTGATGGAGGCATGTTGCTTGGAGGCAGCGGAATTATTGGCTTTGAAACGTCGTATATATGGAGGGAACAACCGCATTTAGAGGGGTCCCAGGAGCAGTAGATGCGACCGCTGGAACAGGTTTGTTGATCTGACATTTCGAATCCTCGCCCAGAGCCATCATCAGGGACAAATGTAGATTATTGGAGCCCAGATGCGGCTGCCTCTGATAATGAGCTCAAGGGAGAATCGGCCTTCAAAGGAATGTCAGAGCAGAGTCTTGTCGTCGTCGTCTTGACAGGAATTCTCTACCCTAATCTTGGGGAAGAATGAGGTCGCAAAAACAGGACTTCGAACGCACTGCTTGATAGTACAACCTAACCACAACATTGTACCCTACTCAATCTCCAAGCTCACCGTCTGTACACAACGACGCTTAAGCTCCACAATTACTGCATCCTTACACCTATAAACTGTACCCTTTCGATGCTGGCCCCATTTCTCACAATAAAATTGCAATTGAGGCACGGAATGTTCCTGTTTACCCATCACTAAATTAAATGGAATTAACTAACTAGCATAGGGTAAGGATGAGGTGATACCGCTATATATTTAATATGCAGAACTACCTACTTGACTGGTATAAGTAGGCGTTGTTCGGTACATCAGTTTTCTGATTCCTCTCTGTGAGGTCCTCACTCTTGCTATCATTCCTCTAAGACACGCTCCAACGGTTACCTTTTGCTGATCCCGGCCATATAACCTGTCCTCACCTAATGATATCTTTGCGTAATTCTGATCTTTAAACTTTGATGTGTGGTCTGATTTTTTGGGTTGTTTTCCCTCCTGACAACTTGCCGCGTGATCCACGGCAACGACGCGGCACCGGGGGCTTGAGTCTGGCTTGTTTTTCAGTGAGGCTGACTTGCACAGCATTTGTCGCACGCTCTCCTCCCTCCCATACCTGACTCCGATGGGAAAGCAATGGCAAACAACCATCGGTGTGCGCCAACACAGTGGGTGGCACCCGCCACCTGGTCCCTCTGGCTGCATCAGGCTTCTGTAAGGACGATCCGCATCTCACATGGGCGAGAGCGCCATAAAGGTCAGCTTAGGAAGGAGCCATTGCATCATAACTCTCAGCCTATCGCAGATAAGCTAGGCCGCGTATGAGACCCTGCCTACTACGTCCTTCATGTCCGGTCTCGAATGGAAAGAGAGGGTGTACGTCAGCGGGAGGGATAATATATTTTGTACAGATTAGCTGGAGAAGTAGTTGGAGGCAGTTGGCAGCCGGACTTTGGCACGTCCGGCTCCGAGTGAGCGACGCCCCAAGTGTCCGAGGGAATGCCTCACAGCGTCTTAAGCCGAGACACGTCTGAGTCGGCCTTGAATATGATTGGCCAGTTGGAGAGCCGAGTGCGCACGTGCGCACGAGCCGCGCCCTGGTGCGCACGTGCAGACAGTCGCAAGAGGCCCAGCCTTGAGACAGGGACTGGGAGCAGGGCCATTACAAGCTTTCCAATCGTCCTAAAATACTTTCACGAAGACCGAGTTATCCTCTCATTTGACAGCCACCCAAAGCTAGGACTCTTAGCGCGTCGTCTACATAAAGGGACACCGAAAAAATACTTTTCTCCATTTCTGCGAAAATTCCCATGTTCGCGAACACATGTCTGCCAGGCTAGGTAGAGGTGAAAATCGATCGATTTCGAGTTCAATTCTCGCACATCTAACCGATACGAACCACCAAGCCGACACTAAAGAAGCCTTTAAAGTTGTCGACCGGGCACCGACACGCTAGTTTAAAGGCCTGCGCAAACGGGTGCTAGCCACAGCCATTCGACTAGCGGACACAGCACTCTGTTGTCAGAAGACGTTGACACAAGCGGTCTGTCTGCCCTGGCCGACTCCAGACGGTGATCGTACGCCGCCCCGACGCCCTGAGAGCAGTCACATGCACTTACAGCGCTTACAATCTAACTGGAACCGCTCTCCTTCCCCCCCCCTCCCACCATAACCCCACCGTCCTTAACACGCTGACTTTTTCATGAGGGCGGCATGGGAACATGGAGTCCGATTACCCCTGCCCCT